ATGTAAAATATACAGTAAAATAATTATGTTTACAATTTTTTTTTATTTTTTAGTTCTAGTATGAATTACTTGTAAGGAATATTGTTATACAATTTCATAACTTATTAGCTATTAAAATTGAAGATTTTTAAATTATTTGTTATAAATATACAATACTTATTATTTGTACATTTTCACGATTTTGTAAAAATTTGAACTTCAAATTATTATTATAAAAATATAAATATTAATATTTGGTGCTTTTACTTCAAGTGTACCAGGTAATCACAAATATGTTTTGTAATTCGTGCACATCAATTACAAAATATATGCAAGGAAAAGTCAGAAAAATAAATAGCCTGCAAGTACAAAGTTTTTGTCCATCAAATATTTGAAAAATAAATAAATAATATATGGTATCGACACTTGAGTTTCAAGAAGAATTTAATTTTTTTTTATGTCTGATTATTTTGCTAGGTGAAACTGCAGGAGGAGCGTTTACATTGTTTTATGCTTACCCGTTTTCCGGTAGAAAATCGTGTGTCGATTGCAGTACATTTGAGAGATTGTATTTTGATTTTTCTCACGTTTTCGTATTACTTAGGATAACGTACATAACATAGCGTTAAGAAAACTGCCGAAACAACGTTCCGATTTATGACACACCAGTTTTTCTTTAAAGCTGATTTTGATTTTTGTCTTTATTTTTTTAAAGTATCAATGCAATAATCATAAAGACTTGGAAACTTTCACCAATTATTAATTATTATAATTTTAACATATTTTCATCACGTTTCTAGAAGACTCGTTGTCGTATCTAATTGCAACAATCGTATATATTGCAATATTGACCATTTTAGAGTTTAATTAATGTAAGTAAAGCATTTGGATATGAAGAAAAGAAAAAACTTGAGTGTTTAAACCCGCCCATGCCTTCCTATTACTCCCCCTCCACTGCAAAAAAAAAAGTTGTTATTTAAATGCAATTTAATAATTATCATACATAATTTTAAAACTTATAATGAATTCCGAATTAATTTATTTAAGTTATAAACAATAAATTGTCCCTGGGAGGAACTTATAGTAGGCGTATGATTATATATATATATATATATATATATATATATATATTTTTTTTTTTAATCTATTTTTACTTTTTTACTTTGCTTGTAAAACGTTATGTTAGATACACAACATATTTTTAACAAAATTAAGTTTTTTTTTATTGATTACTAGTAAATCATATATAAAAAGTTTAAATCTTGTCAGCAATAAATCATAATATTATATCGTGAAAAATACGTTTACAACCACATCCAGTCCACCCGTCTACTCGATAAATGAAAGCCATCCCGGCGCGAACTAAGCGAGGAAAATTGTTTTATTAGTTTATAGTATTATATCGTCACTTCTGCTATGTATCGGACCGAACTATCCCTGAATTTAAAACGCTAACTACGCCTATATATAATTATGACATAATTGCATTTCACGATGAAGTGTGTGTGTGGTTTTTTTTTTTTTTGACAATTATAATATTACAATTTAAAAATAGAACCAGTATAGTTCTCAGGAGATAATATAATAGATTCTGGGTATCGATTCATGGTGGCGTGTACAGTGAAAACGCATACAATAATAAAATTATAGGGTGTAGTTCGTAGGCCGGTCCGCACTCGACGGCCGTACGCGCCGACTGCAGCGAAAATCGCCGTCGACGACCAGACCGCGACGGCGGTGTACCCTACCCTACCGGTGGCGATATCCACTGCGATCTCGACGTTTCCACGGCAACCGCACGTGTGTGCACACGAAAACTGCAGTTCTCCATATTGGATTTAATTGCCCGTTTGTATCACATGATAATACACACACACACACACACAATATGATTTACCAAGCACGATCAAACCCTTTTTACCCTTAAATTAATCAAGCATCTGTAATAAGTATATACTCAAGGTAGCTTATGCGGTAGCTCGCTGCATATGAAAATTGATTTTTTTATGACATTCAAAGAGTATCCCGTTTCAATATTTTTATACATATATATATTACATTATATTTGTTTACAAACGAGCACCTTCTTTTTTCTACTTCAAACCGTTTGGCGGATGATTTCGTTCGGTGTAGATTGAAAGTATAACGAAGCCATCTGTAGATTCTGTAGAGCTACTACTCTTTTTGGAGCTATGCACGTACCGTGTACCTTCATCTATTTTATCGATATAGTATAACAGGAACGACACTAAAACGTTCCATTACATTTTCGCTACTATGTACATATACCTGTCTATTTACAAGCATTTACAGTAAATTTTATGAGTAATAAAGTTTTTCTTTATTTCATTCTAAAAAAAAAAAAAAAAAAAAAAACAGGATCCATTTTAAATTAAAAAAAAAATTGTATGCATTATCTTGACAAAATACTGAAATTACATTACTGTCGCTTCGTGTATCAAAAAAATGAAAACTCTATTGGGACAATAACAAATTTAATGATCAAATATAAGATATTTGACGTATTTCCTAGCTATTTGCATAATATAATTTACTGTATCATATTGAAGTTATTTTAATGCAATCAACATTATATGCACCGTCAATTGTGTATCAAGGGACTATGTGATAGTAGTGCAACGCTTTCTGTACTATTGCCATCCAATCTAAGTTCAAATCGCCATTGCAACTTCTAATTTTCTTATCATGATATCTATAGTCTAATATTGATTTGGTTATCAATAATTAACGTGTAACTTGATAACGAGCCTTTATAAAATCAATAAAATCGAATAAGTACCCCCTTTTCAAAAGACTGTTGTAAACAGTTTATATAAATTTATAGGAATTTCGTAAAGAATTGTGTTAACGTATGTTGATTATAAGAGGGGAACTCGGGACCAAATAAGCCCTTTAAGCTATAAATCCTAGAGACATCTGTAATAAAATAGTGTATATACAAACCTAATTCTTTCCCGCCTATCATGAAATCGATCAATACGCGTATCTAAAAACATACGACAACTAAGCATTACAATAATATAACTGTTTGAGTCGTTTAAATACGATGAACGACCTGTGTTATCCATGTGTCAATGTTCGTAATAATGTCACCCGAGTTATAAATAGTTATAAGCTATTTTAGTAGGTATTATTGGAATACATAAAAAAAATGTTTGAAATCTAAATAATTATCATGATTGATATATTGTGTAGGTGTCTGTTCTCTTATTTACCTTCGTCAAAACGATGGATAATATACATCATCTTTTTTGCGTCTATCTATTGACACAATTATAATTCGTTAAGAGAATATGTTTACATATTTTTTATGTTATATGTTATATCTGTAAGTCTTATTATTACTAATATTTGATTCTTGTTTTATTAATTGCGGTTGTTTAAAGTTAATATTGAAATATCTATTAGAACATATTGTGTATAATATATTTCTATGATATTTACCTATTTAATTGGTTAAACATTAATTTTACGTTTATTTAGTTTTCCTTTAAAATCATATTATAACTACATACATTGTGTAGATAATAATTAATTCATTAAGAATCTACTTTAATGTCAAATTTAATAATTTAATTGTTAGCCAGAGATTATATCAGTATAAAATTAGGTATTATTACTAACTTTCAAATAGTAATAATAAATTATTTGTTTACTGTAAGTTTGTATGTATTTAAATAATTAATATTTCCTGTGACGTCGTTGTCACGTGTATACTATGTAAATCACACTGTAAACCGAGCATTATTTTTCGAATATAATTAACCTATAATGATTCGGTTTTTATTTCCATTGAACACAAATTTTACAGATTTTAAATTTAACACGGAATGACTGCAGCTTTTTTGAGATTGTACGAATGATAAATAAGTTGTTTTCATGAGTAATGAGTATACCTATAATCATAATTTATCGAAGGTTTGGCTTTTAAGCTCATCATAGATACATGATATTTTATTAATCGAACCACATTGTTGTATACATATTTGATCGTATTTTAAATATACAAGATTAACGATAAATTCATTATATTTAAATAAGAAACAAATATTTTAGGCTACATAAATTATATAGACATCATTGCGAGTAATAATAATCTTGAGTTAAACTCGTATTTAAAATTTAACTTGAAAAAAATAAATAACAAAGTTTAATACATTATACATTTATTTATTGATTTATTTAAACAGCCCATCAAATATATAATATAATAATATTATTCACACCCGGTATGTAAAGACAACTGATCGTCGTATAACAAATGTTAAGTTCCTGCTGGTAGTATAGTATTATATATTTGGCAGGAGTTCCAATATTATGACCACCCGCAGCTGGTGCTGGGACTTAGTAATGGGAAATATCGAATTGCGAAACACAATACCCAAGTTAAAATTTATAGATCAAAAAGTCTATACTTAACGTAACTTTATGCCAGTACGTGAAATCTTTTAAATTATTTGACATTGCTTAATAAATATTCATACAGGGATATTTAGTAGTATTTATCCGTTCGCCTCTAAAAATAAAGGCGTTATTAATAACAAATTTAAAAATTTTACTTAATTATTATTATTAGTATCATCGTCATATAATAAATTTGATTCATATTGTTAATGATGATAACTCTACCGAATTTGTTCATTATAAAATTCATTGATTTATTAACTAATTTTATGATTATTTTTAATCAAAAATAAATTTTTATTACATTCTTATTCGAGTACTAGAATTTATAAGTATAAAAAATTCAAAAATAAAATCTGATAGATACTGAAATACAACGAGTTTATTTCAACAAGTTTTTATGTGATCCATCATTCATCTTAGTCAATGGTCTATATATATATATATTTTTATCTTCATTGTAATGTCGTTTGATACTCAAACGAATAACTCTATTCGCGCGCTTGATAAATCGGCCCACTGACGACCGACCGTTCGTCGTCAAAGGATCGAATCAACTATATCAAGTGTTTTTTTATGTCTGTATACTTTTGCAGATTTCCGAATTGAGCCACACCGTAATTAATGCTCTATCATTCCGGGTGGAATACAGACGTGGATCCGGCGGCACAGCGATGTTTCAGAGACAAGTACGATTCCAAATTGATTTATCGGACGTCACGAATACGCATTCTCCCAGGGACTATCTGTTCGCCATTATATTCACGTTGCACTCCGGTATGTATTATCAGCCGCGGTCCGTCAATAAACGCGTATCTATCATTAACGTTATTATTGTTAACGATACGCATATGCTATAATATTTATCCAATTGAACATTTTAAAACGCTGTTTTGTTGTGTGACACAGGTAATATAAGACGTTTCCGGAGAGTCTGCGAACACATTCAGACACAAATGTGCGCGAGGAAAGCGCCGTCTTCGCCCCGGGCGGCTAGAAAATTTAACACAGATTTATCGGAAAGCTCGAGTTGTGGATCAGATACGTCCGAGAGATTGTCACCATACGTAAATTTAAGAAACGTAAGTCGAAATTATTGAAACCAGCGGAGAACCGACTACAGTTGCCGTTCGTGTACGACGGTTGTTCATCGCACGCGATGCGTCCTACAAAATATTACCTATTATTACCTATATCATATTAATATCATAAAACACAGAGTTGAAATATAATTTAGGTCGTTTGCGATGTCTTGAAATGATAACGCTTGTAACTGCTATTTTAAGAACGCCTGTTTATCGATCGCTTGATATGGACGAATGACACTATACCTAATATAATATTATTGTATTATATTCTTGTGTTGTTTATAATATAACGTCCCGATAAAATATTTGCTCGAGTTTAATGGCGCCATATAAAACGAAGTTTTAGGATAGATTTTATTTTTAGAAGTTATTAGGTATCGTTTATCGATAGTATTTTGCTTTTAGGAGATTTTATATCCTGCTATAATTACAATCACGAGACATGAGGTACAGTATGACGTCAAAAAGTAAACGTCTAGGAATAAAATTGTTTTCTTTTAACTCTTAAATTGTCAATTATAATAATTATTTAATAACATTCTATTAATTACTGTGAAGTCGACAAGTTCATTATATTATCAATATTAATATATATTATTCGCTGTAAAGCATTTATAAGTTATAACCGCTCTTTAGTACTAAAAAAATACTTTCGAAGAAATTATATGTTTTATTATTCTATTATTATTGTCAACAGATTAATGAAATTAAAAATATAAACATAAAAATTCATACAAAAAGGAGAAAGAAAATAAACATATCCCTGAATAGTAGATATTGAGAGTACCTACTTCATCATTAAGTATGCCATTGTAATAATGTAATGTATGTGTTAAATTTGAATTCAATGATAATGTATGTATTATGGTATTATGATATAATTATATTGCTATCAAAGTAATTTATTATAGGTACTGTAAGTAATACGCTAGGTTGATAATGAATCATAATAGTAGGTACTAATTAAAAAATTTCTAATACTTTTCTGAATATTTAGGAATATTGAAATAAAAAATAGGAATAAACAAATAACCATATATACATTAATTTTCACCATTTTAAAAATATTGTGATTTTTTTAATTAATAATTGACATTTTTAATTTTTGATTTTTTTTTTCCATATAAATATTGATATCTAACAAATAGTTTGCTTGGTTAAAATTTTTAAACATTTAGTAGAAAGTTACTTATAAATCGTTACTATATATATCTTTAAATATTAAAACACATAGGCACAGACGCACAGTACAGAAAAATATATAAATTATTTTGTAGTTAAAATATTAATTTTTTCAATTTTTTTTTTTTTGAAAATTTTTAAACAAAATAATTCAAAAAATACAGAAGTATGATTTTTTATTAAAAAAATGTAGACGAAATTATATATAATTTAAAAACGTACTTGAAGACTAATAATAATTACTTAAATTATACTATTGCTATACATAATGACATTTTCAAAATATGTAGATTAACTTTAAGCTGTTACTTATTTATACCACTAATACCTATATTCATACCGTTCAACGGCAAGGTAATGTTGGCTCAAAAGTTAATAACAATAATAAATTATTTGAACAAAACCTGTTATAATTAAATATTAAAAGTTAAAATAATATAATAGGTTTAATATTTCCAAAAAAAAATATAATTAACCTACCGTAATAGTGTAATTCCAATAGTAAAATTAATTACTTTAATAGCAATACCAAAAAATACATCATGAAATTAATTAAGTAATAAATGCTGACAATCTTCGCTCAGAATCGTTTTTCATTTGCAGTAATTTATCATTGAATTCAAATTTAACACACTTTACTGTGACTTGCTCAATAAATACACCTACTATACAGCAAAATATTTAATTCCTATCCCTCTTTATTTTATGTTTATCTTTTCAAATTAAAAGTCATAATGTATTTATTATTTTATTTATATCGATTAAAATATAATACTAAATACAATAAACATTATAACAGACAACTACTTATCAATTATTATGATTTGTAAAATTAAAAAATTTTACGTTAAAATAAATTACAAAAACAGAATACCTATTTAATGTAAAAATAAATAGTATAAGTCAAAAATCTCAAATCTCAATTCGAGAAGATCTCGAGTATTTTTCAGGTCATAAATGTCACAATTTAATAACCGAAGTTTTTTAAAAAATACACATTTTATTAATATTATCTTCGGATAAGCATCTATGAAAATGTTTTCTGTAAGGGAAAGGGGTTTTAAAAAATTCACTGCATTTTTTTAATATCAGGTGTGTATTTTATTATTTTTAATGAAATATAAATATAACAATAATAGCTCCAAATATCAATGGTATCATTCCTTTGTTTTAATTTGACGAATTCACTCTGGAGAGTAGAAAATTTTCGTCTTTCACAACTGTATGTTGAAATAAATATTAAATTTATAAATAGAATGAATGAACGACTTTTTTCAAAGTACTTAAAAAATATGTCTAGAAATTAGTTCTAAAAGTTAAAAAATGTATAATTCATAACTTAATTATTAAAAATAATAATATACTTTTTATTATTTTTTTTTTTATTAAATGCAAAGTTTAACAATAAAATAGAAATATTTTCGTATGTCATTAAAATTTTGGTCAACGTGCAACCTTAGAACGCGTATCACCACCTTATAGTATATAGCTGAATACACAAACAACCCGTTTCCGAATAAAAGTCTTACACTCAACTTTCACATCTCTACATTCTTTTGCAAATATCTTCTCGACATAATTTCCTCACAAGAATATAAAACATATTATGTTTGTCACTACTGTAGTAATAGTACGCATACTTGACGTGCTTTACCAGTGGACGTTTTTTCTCAATCTAATAATTTTATTTATTTCATGAGCAACAGCATTATTTATATCTTATAAGCCGAGAATCTTTATTATAATACATTTTCTTGAATTTCGGAAGTCAAAATTAATTAAGTATCAAAACAAATACCGCTATTCAAAAATTCCAAAAATCAGATTTTCAACTACTAAATTAGACAAAAAGAGCGACGAGCATACTTGGCGTATCATTCCGTATGATTCATTTCGAAGGGTATTAAAATTTCATGAGTGGGGTCCTGGTGCTCCTAAAAAAAAATAAAAATAAACGAAAAGCTGTGGATATCGCTCGCGGCCATCGATCGATTGTGTTCGGTATACGTAACGATGTTTCAGGTCGAATCGGACAGAGACGACAAGAATAAGAGACTGATCAGCCATCAAGACGGCAAAGGCGGTTACTGTATCCCGAACAGCCGACAGAGGAGACGGAGTTCGAGTCTGGCCAACAACAACAATTTCAACAGCAGCAATAACAATTCCATGGCGAACGCACCGGCGGGGGCCAACGGCCGCAACGAAGCGCCGCCGCCGACTAGATCCAACAGCGAAACGAAACCGGCCGACGGCGCTTACATATCGGTATCGGGATCGATGTCTTGATTGCCAAAAACCATGAAATAATATTGTCTAAAACCATTCCTGTGTTTTTTTTTTCGAGTCAATGTACATGTCGTGTATTGTTATAATCAAAGGTGAAACATTAACTTGTTAAAGAGTTTTAGTTGGAATAAATTATTCAAAATTGTTGACTTAAACTAGTTCAATCGACTGTTGAAATAACTTAGCTTTTTTTTTTGTTTGACTTAAAATAATCCATTAAGTTGAAATGAAAAATGGTTTTAAAATGTTTGGTTTTAATTAATGTTTTATACATTAATTACTATTTACAAAATATTAAACAAAAATAAATTAACACTTTATTAGTAATGATATTAAAATGTCTATTGTTTCTTAATAAAATAATTTTGTATATAGAAAGGCCAAAATACTCTTTATGTGATTTGTGTAATAATTAATAAGTGGATTAATTTTTTTTTTCGTATTGAACTTAGTATATTTTTCGATATTAACTTTAAACTTGACGAGTTAAACTTATTGTTTATTACCCTAATAACCTTTGATTATAATCTATATAGACCGATATTCTACCGGGTTACTGTAAAAATATTATTAATATTATTATTATTATTATTATTGTATAGTCGATAAAATTAATGAAAAATAAAAAAGTGATCGATGGTCACGCGGAATTTGTTGATGTGATAATAATATCATAATATTATTATTATTATTGCATAAATGTGTGTATAAATCCTAATGCCATTTGACTTTAATTATTATGTATTTATATTAGGACATGTTAGGTATAATATTATGTTTTTGTATTGATCGTTTATTATTTACGCTTCGTGCACGAGCAAAAGCAACGCATAATTACTATTATTATACAATATTATTGTTTTCGTAGATAGTTGTTTCAGATTCTGAGCGGGATAATGCTTATTATTGCTGTATATTATTACTATTATCATTATTATTATTATTACTATGTATGGTTATTGTATTTATTACGGCAATAATTTATTATTGTGATATATGTTGTGTTTTTATTTTTGTATTTGTTTGGATGATATGCGCTTAATTATTTTTGTGAGAGTGGGAGCTTAGCAGTTATACTACGAGCGTTTTGGAATATACGTATATTTGATAAATACAATATGTTGACTACGCGCACGTCACGTGTCTGACCGATGTAGGTACAGATCATATACTTCATTAAATAACAATTTTGGTTTTATGGCTATACTTATAGTATTTAATATAAATATATATATTATGATAATGTCAAGTAAGATTTTACTATTTATTTTTTCGAACATAAAAAAAAAAAAAACAAAAAAAAAACCACCTACCAAAACAACTCCGCTCAGTATCGTTTTATTTATTTATTTTTGGAACACGATAATGATATTATTTTATAAATAATTAAATTTAATAGTCCATTAACCTTGGTAGCACACCCAAAACTATGCTTGCTTTGAATGAGGAGGATATGCGCTATTTAATTCCAGGTATCAATCAACGTTCCAAAAATGTGCGAGGAAATGTTCAAAACATTATATTCGATATAGGCGCGTATAATTTTAGTCGATGAACATAATATTATATATATTTTATACATGGACGTAAACTAAAATGTATTTATTGTTTTATTGCTATACTTACCGCAATTATAGCATATTCATTTTTAGAAAAATTATTGTAAAACAGTCTGTGTAAAATAAATTTACGTATTTGAAATATTCACTAGAATATAGCATATTATCATATATAATATCATATTATATTAATATACTTATATAATATTTTAAAATAATATTTAACTATAAAATATATATTATATAAAAGCATAACCTCCTTCATTATATTAAATTGTATCTGCTTTATAAAATCCTTCGTTATAACTATTTTATCATCACCATCGTCATCATCATTAATATTATTATTATTATTATTATTATTAATGTTTTAGCTTTAGCTATGGCCTGTGGACTGCTTATATGCAAATTTTTAACAAGCATAATATCAATGTACTATCAATACATCATATTTTAACATAAATAAAATTTAATCTAATATCGGTACATTGAGAAATGATTATATATGCATATATTACGAACGCTTTGTATAATAACTTTTAAAAATATCTCATCGATTTCTGAAATTTACCTATTTGTGTTTATAATCTTATTAATTATCTCTTCGTCGTTTTTATTAATCATTTTTTTTTCTTCTTGGCGAGGTACAAAAAATAATTAGGTGTTAACGATTATATATACCATAAAATATGCATTTCGAAAATGTATAAAATTATACTATTTTTTTTTCACTATGTGATTTTCCATCAAAATATTTTATATATTTGTTTACAAAAAAAAAAAAATGTATGTAACGATAATGATATTTTCAAATTTTGTTGAACGCTTTTGCCAACATTAAATTATATTAATATGACAAGTTTTTTAGTAAACCAAGTCCATACGACCGAATTTGAGATAAATTTTTTTTTTAATGTTTCAGAGTGCCTTAAGAGTATTTAACAGTAATATATATACTATATAGATCGAATGACATCTTTTAAAGCTAAAACTTATTATTATATAATAATATAGTGCATAGAAGTCAATTTTCTAGCACAGACTGGAATCCCTGTTTTTATGTTAATTTTGTCAGTTATCTATAAAATAATTAATAATGTGTAACATTCGGTCGACGTCCATTTTAGTTTTAAACTATTCATGTATTATGTATTACAGAATAAGGTACTATAAAAATATAATAATATGATGTTTATTACGCCAATATGGCAATATGGTTGTAATGAAACTACAAATGTCAAATACATATTATACTTGTTAATTAAAAAAAAAATTATACGTGTTCGATTTTTTTACACTAGATATCTATTATAATTTATATTAAACATGGTATATCCTACACATATTATGTCTCAGTGCTTAAATTATTAGTGAAAATATACCATCATATTTTTTCAAGTTATTTTAGCGGGGTAAAATGCGATAGTATACAATTCTTATCAGCAATATTTTTTAAATAAAATTTGTTACTGATCACAAAATAGTAATTTTAAATTTTATATTTTAATAAAGTCAACAAATGTATAATTGTTTTGTAAAAGCATATTATTATGTAATAAAAATAAATATATATCAATAAAAGTAGTCAATCCTTACTCCTTTACTAGTCTTGTTAATAGTTCTTTTAACACTTTTTTAAAACGTATGCTATAAAATAAAAATAAATGTTATGTCCATTTAAAGAACTTGCCATTAAAATGTTTAAAATTTAAATGTTTTTAAATCGAATGAGTAATGACTAGATAGTAAATTCCTAAAAAGTAGCACCATTAAGTCCTATTTCAATGGATAAAAGAAATTAAGTATTATTAATTACTCATATCTGCGTTTGAATGTGAACGAAAGACTACCTCATAAACCAGCTTTATAACATTTAAAATAAACATCCTAACTTTACTCGTAGCCTAGTAAACAATTAGACAACTTACGTGAATCTGTGCTTTTTACATATCATATACCATACATATAACACGGTTGTTATAGTTCATAAAAAACAGTGGTACAAAAAAATAATTTTTCTATACCACTATTTTTTTTTTTTAAATTACAAATTTTTCTGAATGCCAAGATAAACAAAATTAATTATATAGTTATTGAAATACTCAGTTATTATATACATAAAGCTACAAGTGTAGAACAATTTAACACAGCGGATAGGTATTGGAAATTCGCATCAGACCTTAGTACATTCGATTAACAAGGAATATCTACATATATATACATTATGCATATTAAGATAAAACAATTAATTTAATATAATATGTAAATTCAGTCCAATCTTAATTTCTGTTTGTCGTATAATATTTGTATGCGTACACGTATAATTGTATATGTGTAAACGCATTTTGTGTGTTTCGTCAATATAAAATTCTATTTTATACTTACCTTCGAGTTTCGATATAAAACGTTCATAAATCAGGTATACTTATGACGCGATTCGATTGACTAAAATAATTTTATAACGAGCAATAATCTTAAATAGTCTTACAACATGAGATAATAGCTAATCTAATACCATATTACCTACTAAAGTAAGTTAAGAACTCTATTTTTACTAATATGGATTACGACTCTTTAATAAAACTCTTCCCCGATAAATGTTCATGTCAAATGCAGACTAAACAGATGAAATGAGCTAAAAATATTAAGAAAAGTATATGATTTTAAATTAGACTTTGTATAAATATACTTATTATTCTAAAATATAATTTTATTATATTACTTTTTTTTAAAAACTTAATTATTTACCCCATCTATTTTATTTATCCTATTAAGTAAACTCTCAAATTTTAACTATAAAAATTAAAGATTTTTTGAAGTAAAAAAATACTTTTAAATAGTTTGTATACTTTGGTGACTTAGATAAACGTAATTAAAATTTGAACTTTAATTATATTTAAAAAAAATGTTCTTATGTATTTTTATACAACATTAAAAAATGTATGTAGGATCTTGTATTCATTTCTCAAACTTTTAACCCAACTAAAAGTTTCTAACCAGTTCAGATTCTAAAATAGAGTAGCTTATATTATATTATACTGAAAATCTACTAGCACTATAATAATATACACATAGAAAATGACAGTTTGCATAAATGTGATTTAATTAATAACAATCTGAAAATTAGAAAATTTAATAACAGATTCTTAGTTAGTTAGTAAGTTAGTAAGTTAGTAAGTTTTCCTGTTTATAAAAAATTTTACCGGAAGTTTTAATGGCTTTTAGGATATTAACTCGTAAAATTATTTTTTTTCTCAACCCAATCATAATTATTTTGTTTTAATTCAAAACAAATAATTGTGGATAATAAAATTAAAAACTATTTGAAAATATTAAAGATACATATTACGTAAGATTTTTATTTATAAGCATTTAAAGTTCAAATTTTGACAAAATTCGTTAAATCACAAAAATTTGCAAATAATTCTGTGGTTAAAAATGTATATAATATTCAATTTTTATAAGTTAAGATAAACAATTTTATACGAGGTTTTATAAATAGTTGATGTTGAAACCAAACAATCTTAAAAATACATAAACCCTGCTTTTACGAGTATATGGATATTTCAACTTCAAGTTTAGACGAAATTAGATATCAAACGAAGAATTTCATTTTTAATAATTTTAATTTAAAATTATTATTTGTATATTATTATACTTGAAACTTATGTAATTAAATTGTATATTTTATCTTCAATGATAATAATTAGACATTATTAAAAATGACTTGTTTATATTAACCCTACCTATTTTTCAAAGGCATTGATATTATTGGCTAGTTATTTTAGAGAATGTCTTAACTAAGATAGACAATAATAGAAACAATTTAATAGTAATACATTAGTTTTATGTTTGGTCATTCATTGTCATTATTGACTAAGATTATATAGTCATTGATAACTATTGTCAATGAAAAACTAACATAAACACACAATAACATTTTCAAATGCAATATTTACAGCAAAAATGAATTCAACCTAATATTATTACTAACGGCAAAATAAATTTCTCTATTTGCAATATAAGTATGCCATAAAATACACTTGGTAATACACGTTTACAGACCATTTTTATTCAGAATCATTTTTTCACAATTTATCTTTTTTTAATTGGTTTTAGATACTATACTGTGTAGTAAAGTCATCTGCATGAGCAATATTTAAAAAATTCCTTTTATTTGTCAGTTTTATTTTAACATGTATAGGTAATGCTGAATACTTGAGAATTAGTGTAATTAAAAGTGTATTTAAGCCTACGTTTAACTATAATTTTTCCATTTTTTCTGCAGCGGATATGCGCAGACAACAAATTTATGTTCAAATTTTGTAACTAGAGCCACACAAAACTTCTTATCAAATTAACAAACTGATAATGGAACAAAGAATATTCCTCAAAAATTTGCGATGGTTTTTTTGTTATTGATCATCCTGAGTTTCTTATACAAATACCTTAATAATAAGCGTTTGATGTTTAACTTTAATTTATATAATAAAAAAATGTATTATAGTTTTATTTTAATTTATTTAGAATATCATTTCACTTACTGTAATTCATTACTGTAATTTCACTAACTGTGTTACTAAATATCACAACCAAAATCATGTTATAATACTAGTTTATCTAGTATTTTCCTCATTGTCACCAATAATGTTGTATTTTAAACTTTTATTTATCTTTGCCTTTTACCCTACTTGTAGTAGTAAAACAGTAGTACATTCCAATCTAAAAAAAACATATACTATATATTATGCCTACGTAAATATGCTCTTGATTTAACATATTTCATAATTAATAGAACATATTTGTGTTAAAAAAATATTATTTCATTTATATAGAACTTTTAAATTTTAATCATACATTTCGTTCATTTTTTAAGTTTAAATAATGATTTAAAGAATTAAGGATTAATTAAAAGACTTATAATAATAATTAGAAACACTATATTGCTACTATAAGAAACAGGCGGGTTATTTTATTACTCATATTAATAAATTTAATTATTAATAAAAAAAATAATAAACATAAATTTACCAATCAGTGATAATATTTTAATATTTAAATTCCATAAATACCAATGCTGTATTTTTTAAATTTTAAATGTATGATAAATATAACAAAAGAATTCTTTGGAATTCTTCTACATCGACTTCTTGAATAATTTCAACATTTTTTGGCTTACTAGTTATTTCTGTATAATCAATAAGTAATCCACCACGTGCTTCACCTCCCATAATTGGTGATATATTTGTAACAAAAGATTTTGTAATCAAATTTGGCCACAACATTATAGCTACAATTAATGAATCACAAGGTTGCCAAGTTGGAAATTTTTTAATTTTTGATTCACCTTGATTTAAAAATTTCATGAATTTTGAATCAATACCACCAAGTACATTTATTCTCCATGACTAAAATAACAAAATAAGTTATTAGTAAATCATTTAAAGTAGTTCTTATATTTTCATATTTTACCATTGATATGTTAATTGATAGATTAGTCTCCCAAGGTAACAAACTAATTTTTCCTTGAGTTGAATTGAAAAATATAAAATTACTCTCTGGATCCGAGCCAAAATTAAATTCAACGCCTGGACTTCTATTTCCATAGCCATTAACACTTCCACCCATCACATAAAAACTTTTGACTTTATGAACAAAATTTGGATCCAACGATATTGCAAGTGCGATATTTGTTGTTGGTCCAAGTACAAGTATACTCAATTCACCAGGATATTGATTAGCTAAATTAATTAATGCAATTGCTGCATGTTTTGATCTATCAATATAACTAGTAATTTTTTGATTAAATTCGAAATCACCAAATCCATCATTACCAAAGAAATTATCATATGTATGATTCTGGATCAGTGGTTTGTACGCACCACTAAAAACTGGTATCTATTAAAAAAAAAAAAAATCAATTCTTAGTTTAAAATACATGTCAATAAATAAATAATTTTTTCTTCTCATAGTTACTTTTGTTTCATTTGCGATTGTCAATGTCTTGAGCACATTTTTTTCAACGTTTCTCAAATTGGAGTTACCATAGGTACAAGTTATTGCTACAATATCGATATTTATGTTGTTGTTAGCACACACTGATAGTAGAAGCAAAATAGCCATTGCATCATCAGCACCAGCATCCGTGTCAATCACAAGTTTATCACTTTTCACTCTAGTAGAATCAATACATGTTTAAAGTTAAAATACGTTGAAAATTATTTAAATATAATTATATATATATATATATATATATATATATATATATATTATTTAATTTAAACTTTTTAAAAGTTAATTTACCCTGTTAAAGTTGTTATCAGAATTAATTCAAGAAAGATTAAAAGTTTTTTTTTTCCCATCATTTTTGGATGTTGCTTGTTATTAAACCTACAAAATAATGTAAAGCAAATTATATGTTTAAATCAAAGATTTTACTTACACGTGTAATAGTTTTTAAATTTTTAAACATATGTTGAATGTTAATAGCTGAATCTGACTGTCTACTAAATTCTGATAAACATTCTTTTAGATTCTGAACGGAGTGATGAATGTATTGATCTTATAATAATGTGTATTTTTTAAATTTTTTTATTTGTGTCTATCTTCGCGTTTTGGAGTAATAATAGTGCTTTGATTTTTTTACTTTAGCCCCGTTTCTAAAAGAATAATAAATCTAGATATCATTGCGAAAATTTGCTAGGAATTTTAGAGTTGAAAATTTATAAGATTGTTGTGATTTATACTTAAGGTTAAAAAACTTAATACAAGATTTTCCATAAGTTTTCCTTCAAATAACTATAAAAAAAACTCCAACGTCAATATAGAAAACATTTTATGAGCGAATAAATTTTAAATTTTTACAAAATCGTGTAAAATAATGATTTATTTTAAAATGATTTAAGTAATTGTTGTTATTCAAAAAGTATAAGTCGTAAAATCTTGAAACTTTCACCAGTAGTTAGGATTGATATTTTCTTTTCAAAATATTTCATTAATTTTTATACTAGTATTAGGCGTATGAAATATTCGATTTTTTCAAGTTATTTTTTTTATAAATATTAATTAAAAATGTTCGCTTGGACAGAATACTTTAAAATATAATAAAAGATTCCACAAAAGTTGGTCTTATAATTATTCAAAACTTATCAAAATACATAGACACTGTTTTTTTTTTTTTTTTTTGTAAGTTTTTAAGTTGAATTATTGACAAAGTTAGTGAAAATCACAAATATTTGCTTATTATTTTATAATCAAAAATGTAAGTATTAACAATTTTATAAATAAAACTAACAATTTAAAATGTAATACAAGGTTGTCCGTAAGTCTTTCTTACAGTAATTATAAAGTTTTACGAGCGTCTAAAGTATTAATTTTAACGAAATCAAAAATTAACCATTAAAATAACAATATAGTATTTAAACGATTTTAGATTTTTTTTATTATTAAAATAGTACTACTTAGTCATAGAAACTTGAAACTATTATGTAATGGTTGAATTAGTTTTTTCTTTACATACTTTAATTTTCAAAATATTTTGCATATTTAATTGTAAAACATATATATAAAAAATTTATTACATTATTATTTATTTTCTACTTGTATGATATAAAGTATTATGATAACTACGTGCAATGTTTTGGAAAAAATTGATTAACCTTACCGTATGGAACCTGTACTAAATCCTACTTGAAAAATAAATTACTTGTATCAAAAAAAAAAATAAATATATTACAATTTAAATATAAGCAATATAATATACCTAAAACTAACAAATCATCACTGTTCAAAATCGTTTTTAGTAAACAATGATACCTATCATTGCATTCAAATTTAACACATCCATTAAAGTGACCTACTCTTCACTTCTACTATTCAACAGAGCGATAGGTATCCATTAGCCAATCTTTTTTATATTTAACTTCTAATATTTAGTTTTATTTAGTGACTCCTTAAATTAGGAATAGTTGTACCGTTTCTAGTTGAAATAATGTTTTTGAAATCAACTATCACATATTCACTTAGAATGTACTAGTTATAAATTGGGGTATTGACATAAAGATGATATTATATTTATATATTTAATTTAAGGTTGTCTGATGTGTATTCACGTGTACAATGAACGGAAAATTTATTTATATCGGTATATTATAATGATATAAGATTATTATTAACATTCACATTATAATTTATATTTTTAATTATTGTTTTTATTTAATTAGTTAATTTATATATATATATATATATATATATATATATATATATATATATATATAATTGTATTTATTTTTCTTTTAAATAAATTAAATGTACCTATACATATAAATTTTATTGTATAATTATGCACATTATTACATTTTTTACTTTATACAAGTTAACCATATAGGTAAATACAAGACTTACAAAGTATTCTATTATTATTTTTATACTAACGTATAAAAATGAAATGATATGCAAAGACAATATAATATAAACAACTACGAAAATATCTTGTGATTAATTCAATATAATTTAAGTTTTATACAATATATAAAAATTCTAAGACATTTTTACGTAAAACAAGAATTTGTAGGTTAACATGAAAAAAATAAAAATAACTGTGGAAATTTAAATTTTAAACTAAATATTATTGATAGCACATGAGATATTATGCAACATATGAAAATAAATAAAACAGTAATCAAAGTACGATATTAAATACGTATTTCGTGTGCCATTATTTAATTAGACATTTAAAATTGTTAATATTTTTAGTTTAATTTTAATTTAAATATGATAAAATTATCTTTAATGTTTATACAACTTAATAAAATTCTTAAAATCTGGAATATTTTTTTCTCACGCTATTGAAAAATATAAAAAATATTCGCATATTTTTATAAACATTTAAATTTTAAATTTTGACAAAATCACGAAAAATTGTATATTATTTTTAATAATCATTGTAAGTAAATCATTAATTTCAGTACATACAGATAAGCGACGGTATAGGTGTAATAATAAGCCTCTAAAATGTAGTTACCGATAAAAGCCGTTGTTGTATAACAAACAAATTATTAGCATATTATTATTAAATATAAACTAAAATAAATATATGAAATTAATAAAAGTTTTAACTTAAAATTTTAACAGTTGGATATTTAAAAAAAAACCTATTTGAGTGCCTTTGTACTCACGAATGATGTGTAAACATTTTAGCTGCAGTACGACTTTGATTGGGGAATATAATGTCATGGTTTGAGTGGGAATTTATATAATAAAGTAACAATAATCATACAAGATTGCGTTCTCTTTAAAATTTATATTTAACTTTTTTATTTTTATTTATATATATATATATTTTTTTTTATTATTATATATAATTTATATATATTATAATTATTTATTATATATTATTATATATTATTAATTATGATATATTATATCATCAGCCTATTTAGCAAACGGCGTAACTCCAAAAAATTTAAATTTCATTTTTTCATGTCATTCAATGTAAAAAAAAAAATGCGCGTCGATTGGTATCATATCATAATATTGGGTGAAGCACGTTTGGGTACATTGCATTATTTTTACCTGTAAATGTAGAACACGTTTGGGTACACAAACACGTAGCACGTTTGGGTACATACGCTAATTGCCAATAGGTTATTTCGAAATAGGCTTATTAAGATATGATATCTTTATAAGATATGGTTTATAAAACTAACTAAATGTTTCAATCCTCGTGGTGTCTCCTGGATAACGCTAATAGGTTCTAAAAATTAAAAACTAATGATTAATTATTAAAGTGTTATTTTTTTAGTTGTTTCTATATGTTATATTAATATCTATTTCCTATGCACCCAAACGTGTTATCTTTCTAGAGATATGGTGTACCCAAACGGTGTATTCATTTGTACCCAAACGTGTTGCGTTTAGGGTTTACTGTACCCAAACGTGTTACGGCCATAATATTTAAGTGTGTATTCTTCCATGAAACCGGTGTTAATTGATACGCATTAGTCGTATCTCCGATAAACAAATAATATAATTTCTATAGAAACCGGCGTATCTCAATATATACGAGGCGTGTCCAGAAAGTAAGTGTACTGAGGCTCTCACGGCCATAGGGAATATTTTTTTACTATGTTAGCTACATTGCCGTATAGCGTTACTCCTAACCTTTAAAACAAGACCAGAACGAGTTCAGTACGTTGTAAACTGTAGTCTCACGAATTTTTCTTGTTAAACATGTCGATCGAGTCTGCCGCCAAGTGCGAAATCCGCGCCGTTATCCGTTACTTTGTTGCGAAGGAAAAATCTCCACATGAGATTTTTAATGAGGTACGAACCGTTTATGGTGAAGGCCATATGAATCGTACCAGTGTATACAAGTGGTGTAGGGAGTTTAAAAACGGCCGTACGAATGTACATGACGATCTGAGGAGTGGGAGACCGTCGATTTTGACTGACGACATTGTAAAAAAAGTCGAGAATGCGGTTCGTGACGATCGCAGATTGACTCTGGATGAACTTTCTGCAATGTTTCCGCAACTGTCAAGGTCTCTGCTCCACGAAACAATCACAGAAACACTTGGATTTCATAAACTGTGCGCAAGATGGGTCCCAAAACAGCTTACTGAACAACACATGTTGAATCGAGTGCAAGCCTCTAGAGAGTTTTTGGAACGCTATGAACTGGACGGTGATAATTTTCTCAAGTCTATTGTTACTGGAGATGAAACTTGGGTTGCACACTATACACCTGAAACTAAGAGACAGTCCGAACAGTGGCGTCACACCACTCCACCCTCAACCAAAAAGTTCAAAACCACCATTTCAGCCAAAAAAATCATGGCATCAGTGTTTTGGGACCACAAAGGCATCATTTTGATTGAATATTTACCTCAGGAGGAGACCATCAACGCAGCAAGATATTGTGAGACCCTAAAAAAATTGAGGAGAGCTATTCAAAATAAAAGGAGGGGTCTGTTAACGAGCGGAGTCTGCCTGCTGCACGACAACGCCAGACCCCACACGGCCAATGTCACGAAGCAATTGTTGGACTCATTTGGATGGGATGTTTTGAACCACCCCCCGTATTCCCCCGACCTGGCGCCTTCAGATTACCATTTGTTCACTTCCCTGAAGAAACACATGGGTGGAAAAAAATTTTCAGCTGACGAGGAAGTGAAGGGGGCGGTCGACAAGTGGACAAAGGAGATGGCGGCAGAGTTCTACGAGACAGGCATAAAAAAATTAATCTGCCGTCTCACAACCTGCATTGAAAGAAATGGTGACTATGTAGAAAAATAGCACACAAATATATTAATGTAACCACGTTATTTTTTTTTTTTAATAAATTTTTTTGAAACCTACAAAAATTGAGTACACTTACTTTCTGGACACGCCTCGTATATTATATATTATATAATATATTATATTATATATTATATTATTATTTTATATTATATTATGTATGTTGGATAGCCTGCGCGAATACCGTGCGCAATAGCCTCACACACACACACTCAAGCAGTCACATCTACATGACTTACGCCTGACGCTCGATTTCCCAAAAAGGTCGTACTACAAACCGATAGCATAGATGTTTACACATCAAAAAGGGTTCCTTAATCCTTTCAACAATGAAGTACGTGAAACACGAAATAACATACCAACTGCAGCTGTACACTGTACAGCAAAGCTATACCTAACCATTAACCAACTATTGTTTTTTTTATTTTCGTATTGATAAGTTTAATTTTTATAACTGCACTTTGTTTGAGTAATAAAATTTTTGAAATTAGAATAGCCGATACAGCTGACCTGAAAGATATACGTCAAGTCAATTTTGTAAAAAACGAAATTTGTCGTTTTGTCAAAAAGGTTGAAAACCACTGGATAAATAATATTTCACTACCTCCCCATATTAATAAAATGCTTACTTAAAACAGTTGTATCGTTATTGAATATACTATTATAATCGTTAATATTTTAAGAAAAGTAATTTTAAAAATTTTCATTTTTACAAGGAGTAGGTATATAGATAGAATGAATATTACCGTCAGAGCCACATGTTATAAGTATGAAACCTATAGATTTTTTTTTATATCTACAGATAATACATTTTCCCCAGTCTCGTTTAGCATACAATACATTTTTATAAATTCACTTGAACACTTTGGGTAGCCTCAATATAAAGAACCCTCAAATAAGAGGGAGGGTAGACAACCAATGTATAATATATAGTTATGATAACATTTCTATTTGAACATTGACAATGCAACTATAGTGAGCAAATAGGTTTATCGTTTTACGTAGAACCTAAATTATACAACATAATATTATCTAAATAAAAAGTATCACCCAAAATTTGTATTAAGCCGAAGATGACTCCACCGATTGAATTGTCGACAACAGTATTACTACAACGTATGTATTTAGCCGTGTATTATTGATGGAAATTAAGAATAAAATAAATTTCTTGGTATTTGTTGTATTACCTATATTGTTAACAATCTATAGCTCAATATGACCATGCAACGGGATCCCTTTGATGTAGGTACCTAGCATTCAGCAATTTTTACTGTGTGCCCATATAATAATATAATACACAATCTACAATGTACCAACACGTTTTAACGATGTTCAAGCAAAAAGAACCTTCTTTAATGTATATTATATCACATAATATAGGTATGTACAGATTGTACAATATACTCTAACTAAAAATATTATAACGTAAGCGCTCAATAAGAGAACATGTTGACTCTGTCTTTCAAACAACATAATATCAAATTTTACATTAAGTGAAATTTTTATTTCGAGATAAAAATATTATCCGACAAGTATCATAGGTTTTTCGTAATATTTTAATGTTGTATCTAGTAATGATTTATGAGAATTTTATAATTTTTAAAATCGTTCATAATTTGCTTCAAAATTAAAATGGTCAAAAAAAATCGTACCCTAGATAATACTTTTACTTAAAATTATAAATTCACGCCAATATTAAAAATAACAGATTTAAACGAATTATTTTTAACGTAAAATGTGCATGTTAAACGTTAAAGAAAGACAAAATATGCTGTGGATAAAAAAATTTTTATAGTAAAATTTAATTTGTTATACTATGCGTTAGTAAGACAAATGCTACAAATGTGTTTGGGTACAATAAACCTAATTTTAAATGGTTTAAAAATAAAATCATAAACAGTTGGTTAAAAACAGCTAAAAAAAGTATAAAGATTGTGCAATTCAACTAAAAAAAATGAGTTTTGAAAATACGTATCAATTATCGATTATTTTTATAATTTTCAATATCGAAAATATTATAACTATAGGGTATTTATTTACTATATGTACCTATATTTTTTTAATTAATTATTAATTTTTGATAAAAATTATATTTTTTGTAATATAACTGTTTTATTTTTATATTTAAATTGATATTTTTTAAATTGAAATTATATATTATGTTAAAATATTATTATACAATACGTTAAATTTGTATTATATTATATGCCAAATGTTTTACTTCTAAATCAATATATTATTGGATTATTATAATATTTTATACTTGAAATATTTGTATACATGAGATATTTTTGTATTTGCGAAATATTTGCCACGATATTTTTACGTCAACATTATGAAGGTTTATCGTAGTGCAAAGTTTACCAAATTATAGTAAATGGACGATTTGCAAATGCACAAACGATAAGTCAAAATTGTTGTTTTATTGTGTAACAAATAATAATAAAGCTAATCAAATTAATACAAAAATATAATTTAATCATAAAAAAAATAATGTGGCCATATGAATTAGAATGATATAATTATTACAACAATATATAGCTAAATAATACACGGAACTATGTCCAACGACATTCAATGCAATTAAAATGGAAAACATAAAAACAATTTACTTATTCAATGGTGTTGGTATAAGAAGAAATTTCCAATTGATATACTTAAAATGCAAATGCCATATGAGCCGATTTTCAGATAATAAATACATAATACGGTAATCATAATGATTAGATATAAATAAATAAATAAATGAATAGATATAATACTCACAAAACAATAATTGGTAGTAACGTCAAACGTAGTGCAGACTTGGACAGTTTGCATATAAAAGATAAACACGCCAACCAATATGTACGCGTCGAATGTTTGAGATGCACAGTCAAGGACATTAAAATACAGTGTGTGTATAATAGACTAGAGTTCTTTACCTGTAGCTCCGCTGTGCAGCGCTCCTTACCACAAAGGATCAGCATTTGAAGGATGACAATGCGGATCCAGGGTGGGGGCGAAAATTTATCCAATGCATTTATACAACATTTTGAGGAAAATTGGAAATAAAACTTTTGTCCACTTAGCCATTAATATAATAATAAATTATATTATTAACATTATATTTTAACAGCAAACGTCTTTACAGTAACATTATGAGACTTATGATTTATAAATATATATTATATTTTATTTTTATGCTTATTTAAAGTGTTTGTGCGTGTTAAAATTAGTTTTGTTTTATAATTTAATAATGATAGAAATATTTACGCTAATAAAATGTGTATGCGAGCGTAAAATAAGTCATATATTCACAGAGCCGGATCTAAGAAGAGAAACCCAAGAATACCAAGTTGTTTTTTCCATGTTTTTTCTTCATAAAAAGTGATATTTATCAGTTACTGCAGTATAATAAAGTTTTAACTGATAACTGATTTTCATGTGGCTTACAAAAATTATTTTCGACTTCCTATGATAGTGCGAATTTTAAACACTATTTTCAACTACCTGTGGTAGCGTAAATTACATATCTTTAGCCTATATCGGTGCAAATTCCAATTTAAATAACCGCTAACCGATTTCAACTGGTTTAATTAGTATTTTGTACAACACATAAAAAAAACTATATTAATACATAATATGTATATCATGCATGTGACATGTCATACAAAATAAAACATAAGAAATTATTAAATAAAAATGAATGATTTAAATGTAATGACATTATAACAAATAATACTTCAGAATAATATCAATGTGTAATCTGATTTTTTGCAAAAAAATAACATATCTTTGTTAGAAATGGTATATTTATCCTACAATAAAGTACAATAAAATAGAGTCCTCAATTTAGCTTTAAAAAACATTTCATAAATTAAACAATTTCTTTTAAAAAACGTATTTATATGAATATATATAAGTTATAAAAAATCAATATTATTGTTTTCACTTACTTATTAATTGAAAATAATATGGTTTGGTACAAGAACTAAATTAATGACAGTTAGATCAAAATAAAAGGTTTTATAATTATTACAATCATTTTTTAAATTTTATTATGCAAGTATGCAAAACACAATAGAACACAAATACATTATATAATTTTTTAGTCATTTGGTTCTTGTTTTATAACTAGGGATGGAACATTAAATAAATTGAATTAATTACACAACAATTTCTCTTATTTAATATGTTTTCTAAAAAAATATAATTTAGAAAAAATAAATTATTCTTGAATTTATATTAAAATAGGATATCATACCCACATATTTTATCGTATATTTTAATAATGCCATGTAATTTAATGTATTAAGGGGATTTAATACTGAAAAAATTAAAATTAGTTTTGTAAAATTAAAAATGTGTAAAATAATTTCTTAAACAATGACAAAAATGAACAGTGAATTTAATAGAAAATATTCTTTGTTTAAAATTTAAAAATTAATTTTTTAAATAATTGTTTTCGTAAATATTATTGTCTTTTAATTACTTGTATATTTCTTTATTTTACAATTAACCGTCGGTGTCCTTTGATTAAAATGTGATACATTGTATGGTAAATTTTTTTTCAGCAATTATTCGACAATTTTATTTTTTATATTTTATTATAATTCAAAACCAAGTAATTGTAGGTAGGTACTTAAATTTTCACCAAAAATTAATTGTATAATTTTCTATTTGAAAACATATCAAATTAATAATTATTTGATCGCCTATGTGGCTATGTACCTATTAAAAAATATTAACTTTTTGTTATAATATTATTAGATAAATTATTATAATTTAATTTATTTACAGTATTTCCACGTATAGGTATCTAATATAAAAAAAGTAAACATACTTTTTTTTTCCTGTTTTGAACCGACAGCGCCGCGAGGATTGCTTATAATTTCACATTACTTCCGCGACGCTAATTAACATACCCAAAATGTTTTCTTTAGAGTTTTTGTCAAAATATTTACAATTTAACAGATATTGTATAGATTATTATGACCACGTACGATTTCTATTAATTTTTTGCTATTCTTGCGAACGAATCTGCGATGTCACGCGCAATATTAAAAAATCACTGTATTTAAAACTGACCAATAGTCACAAACGAATTTTAATGATATAATTTCTTACAACATAATATGTTCTATGATTTAAGCCAAAGAAAATTTGATGAATTGGATGGTCCTAAATTAACTCAATAACTACCATAATTCTTATCGTAAAATAAATTAGGTACTTTAAATGTAATTTATATTATATAATTTATAATTCATGCTAAGTGTCGCCAGTGGGCAACTTCTTATTCAATTTCTCACGTCATGTCTTCTCTTAATACATAAGCTTATTGTACATTATTTGTATAGATTGTTTATTTCTAATAAAAAAAAATATATATTATATAATATAATAAAATATAATTAGCCGTATAGGTTGACAGACTGCTTTTTTTAAAATGATTTTTTATGTATATTGAGTATGAGTAATAACTAATGATCTATTAAAATCAGAAATGTAGAAAAATGCAAATGTCTAACAAATATTAAATTCACATAAACATAAAAGTAAAAGGTAATACCTTTTACTTTTATGTAATTAAATTAATCAACCTTGTTTTTTTTTTAAATAGCTTTTATACCTAAATGTATACCAACACAAAATATATATGTGGACAATTAAACATTAATAAAATAGGTAATTAATAGTTGTAAAAGAACAAAGAAAAATAACTGCAGTTAAAATATTAAAATATTTAACGTGATAAATAAAATTTATAAATAGGTACAACATCAATTATACACTAATTTATACACATTTTATGCAAAACATCAAACTTAATACATATATAGGTACTTCACATCATTTAATATGATTCGATACATCCAGTATCTAGTTATTAAAAGTATAAGACATACATAAATATTGAATTTCTACAATTTGCCCCATAACTCCTTATGTATCGTGTTCAACTTCCAACCAATTTTCTAAAATTAAATAATTGCTGTAGTTTTATTAAGTGGAATTGTATGAATACTTTTATGAGACAAGTACACATAATAGATCAAATAAATTGTATACTCATATCATGTCAATGATTATAATAATCATTTCTATCCCTTTAAAAAATCCTCAAATTAATAATGAGCCAGTTAGATAACAAAAATTAAAAACATAATGTTATAATACACTTATTACTAACTGTGAACATTAGTCATGAATTTCATGATATATTGTTATACCTACATGCTTAGTCTGATATATAACACTCTTCTAATAAAATACCTGCATACATTATAGATTTACTATATAATACAACAATCAAAATATTATGCACTAATGACTATAAGTAACTATATTTATTATTTAATATACTAGTCAGTGATATAAATAATGGATATTTTAGTTAGGTAAATGTAATAATATATTATGTATAATATAATATTTTGATATCTAATTTGTATCAACAGAGATAGTATGTACAGTAAACAGCTAACATTATATTATGTATATCTCAGTGGCATTTCACATTTCTTAAATACACGATTTTGCATTGATATCTACATATTAATATGCTCTAATATTTTTGAATAAAAAATATTAAATATATTGCTGGGATATTAGAAAAATGAATTTAATTCTTTATTAGAAGGTTTATCGATAAATATATTTTGCATAATGTTTATACCATCATCATATTTTCACTTTTAGTTTTACATAGTTCCCAGGCTATTTGGCTTTGAAATTTGAACACTCACTAAAGAGAATACAACTAATACAATATAACTCCATCTAAACGATAGTCATGTACAGTATTTATAATACTACGTTACTATAATAAATTAATTAATATCAAATAATATTTAATTTAATGTTTAATTTTTTAAATTATAATAGAAATTAAATTTGTAAAAGTTGACAAGATGTGGTTGGAGGACAAAAAGTGATAATGAGAATAATATGATAACAGATGAGCTAATTTTATCAGTGTTCGACTTCTGTGATAAATAATAGTCAATGATAATTGATAAAGTATTGCTAAGTAGCAATATAATCCGAATGATTTTATGATGGTTCGATTAATTACGGTTTTTAGTTTTTTTCCATTTATTTAATTTGTTGTACTCGAAGTATTAGTTTAAGCCATAAGTTCTATTAAATTGTTGTACTAAATGATAGTACTACTTTTTCATTAGCAATTTAGTTAAACTTATACATATTTTTTTTTAAATCAATTTTTTTTTAGCATGTAATTACATGCTATTATATTTTAATTATCAAAGTTAAGTTCAAGTACATAGTTGTGCCTTTTAGTTGACTTCATTAGAAAATATGGACTTCTCAATACATTAAACCATTTTAATTCAACAACTAAAAGAGTATTATTCTTCTGAGTAAGTGCTTACTTTTTATAACTTGCAAAGATTATTATATTTGACTTATATTAATACCTATTTTAATTAACTAGGAATACTTAAGTTCATTAATTGTGCACAAAATCTGATTGATTAATTTCTCTCTTATGTGCCAAATTATACATTGATTGTAAATAATACATCTATATATATATATATATATATATATAATTAATGATAAAAAAAAAATCATTATTACTTAATTTATTTAATGAAACATCTATTTTATTAATTGCAATGTGTAGTTTCAAGTATATGATTAATTGTTAAGTCTTAATTAAAGGTATTGTATAATGTCTCAATTTTATTACATATCTTGATTATTATAACCACACCCTTTGATTATATTTAAAATTTATGAGTTCAATTATTCAATTTTCTTATTGAAGTTAAAATTATAATATATTGTACAAGAATTAAAGACTATAAAATCTTTCATTTTGCTTTAATTGATAACTAAGTTAAAAATTTGAATTTAATATTTATTATCTTACTTTTGTACGCTCATTACTACATCATCTACATTATTTTATTTTTTTTTTTTAAACTACAATACACATAATTTTTATTTTCATTAGTAGATGATGAAATTATGGAAAAATATTACCTCTAAGATAAAATTATATTTATATCAATATCTATTTTATTTTTCAAGTATAGTCTAAAACTATACTAATAATATTCATAAAACCATTTAATTTAGCTTACCATATAAAAATAAACAAAGAATACTTATAAATTATTTTGATAATTATATTTAATAAGATAATATCATACTCGCTTGTATTGTCTCTATCTTATAAACATAACATAGGAAATATGAATTCGGCATAACCAATTTGATAGTGTTTACTTTAATATTTTAGTAAGTTGAATTATTATTAAACTTAAAGTTTTTTTTTTTATACAATTATTTTTTGTAATATTTAAATTTCAAAGCAAGTTTAAGTATGTATAAATACCTATAGCAAAAAAATAAAAGCGTAAAAATAGATTATATATTTGTTTAAGGGAATATACGTTTATGGGTATTGTGTACTCATAGGCAAGTGCATAAATTATGATCAATTAACCAATAATTAGCACCTACAAAATAATGTAATTTAAAGTACTATAGTCTTTGGTTACTACATTTTAATCATTTTAAAAATTAAAATAAACTATTTTAATTATTCTTTTTACAAGATATTTATAATTGTTTAAAATAATAACTAATAAACATTTAACATTATAAAAATGTTTGGTATTAAAAAAAAAAAAAAAAAATGTTTTATTGCAATTATTAACAGTATATATTCTAATTTTTTTTTTTTTTTAAATAACAAATAACAATAATAAAATATAAGTACAGTATTTGTCAAGAGGATAAAATAATTATTTGTAAGTTTTTTTATGCCATAATACTGAAGTTTTGTCTCCTTCTTCCTTGAAGTTTTGTCAAAATTATTACTTTGTGTAACTATGACGTATATTAAATTTCATTTACATCAGATTTTTAAGTTGTAAACATCAATTAAGTGATATTCGAATTAACCATTAAGTTAACTAAAGCTATTAAATAATATAGAAAATCAAATAATTGTTAGGTACATTATTATATTCTAATATATACAAATATTATTATGGTACATATTTATGTTACGCAATACTATTTTTTTTAGTTAAGTATTGCTGTTTTTTTTAAATCATATAAATGGTTTAACACATACTGCTAGAATTTTATATTGGAAGTAGCAACATTAAAATGATAATTATTTTGTATAATAGTAATAATTCATAATTGAAATCTACTGTAATAATATTTTACACAACAGTTCTTCTAAAATCTAAAATATGGTTAATGGTTATAATTAAAATATTGACAATACATTTCTAGTGAACAACACTTTTAAGATATTTAAGCAGTAGAACTGATTATTAGTAATATTTCAACTTTTACTTTTTATCTATTAATTCATTAATTTTATTTACAATATTTGTAAATCATAAAATGTGTTATGTACTTTTAAACTAAACATTTTAGTAAAAAAAAAAGTTGTTTTTAACTTCAAATGTGTATAAATGATAAATTCAGTATCATGAGAATGAATAAGTAAATTATTTACAATAATGTTAGGACTAAATCCATGTCTTAAGGTAAATGTTATATGAACAGATTTTTTGTTGTTTAATTTAATTTTTCATTTTATGTACCATTCAGAGAGTAGGTTTAGATGGGATTGTGCTATGCTTTGTTCTAAAACCAAATTGTGAAAAAAGGAGTAGGATATCTATTTAAAATTCATTTACAATATTTTTAATTACTGACACATAAATATTTGTTTATTTGTCTTATATAACCAAATATTTAACTAAATTTGATTGTTAAATTCATATTATTGAAATTGAAAAAGTTGCTCTGCTTTGTAGTAAGTTTTTAATTTATCTTATTATTGTAAGTAGGTCACTTTAATTAATGTGTTAAATGTGAATTGAAAGATATATTATTGCATACAAAAAACATTATTTAGCTGAGACTATTTGACAGCCTTTATTTATAAGGATATATTATAAATTATTTATATTACTATTAGTAATTTATTTTTCCATTAAAAATACAGTATATTGGATCGTATTTTTGCCATGGTGGGATTATATTTATAATATAAACTGTAAATAACTTAATAATACTCTAAATATTTTATAAATTTAATTCAGTAGAAAATAATAATACATATACAATATATTAGTGAAAAGTTTAAGTCCTTATGGCTTACAATTATAATTTATTAAATTACAAATTTACAACATAATAATAACTAAAACTTAATAGAGAAAAATCTATTATATGTGTATATCTACAAATATAATAGATTTTCATTCAATGTCATTAAATTTAGAAATAAAAATATTATATAACTCATTAACGCGATGGGCTTTACATGACTTAGTATCACGTAAACATTCTATTTTTAACAGTTTTCATCGCCCATCAGCCATCCCTTTTGGCTTTTGTAAATTAGTATATATCAATGTTGGTAACTTAAACTATTTTATTTTAATAAAAAGACGACATACCAAGGTGGATTAATTAATTCACCTTGTGATAGACGATAGCATTAACAAATAATGAATTTATTAGAAGATAACATTGTTGATTCGTGTTATTGTAATGTACAACTCTACTTAAATCAATAAATCATTTTATACATTTTAATTTTAATGACTTAATTCATCGTGTCTATTATGATGTTTTAGTAGTATTTTAACAAATATTATAAATACTAAGAAAACAAAAAATGTACTTATTTATATTAATATATATTATATATAGGGCATAGACAGTTGTTAAATATAGTTTCGGCAAAACAATAACAAGCAAAGTAACTTATAAATAAATAATATTTTATCTTTTATTCAATCATTAGTTCAATTTGTTTAGAAACTGATCTCTTATGTTGTGCTAGTCTATTTCCCATTATTTTTTCATGTTTTTTTTTTTTAATTTTTTTTTTTTTTTGTTAGTTCATTATGAAAAATTAGTTCTATTTGTCATTATAATATTTGATCACAAGGTGCCAAGCAGATATATTATTCTTATTAACTATTAAATATTAACTGTCATAAATTAATTTTTAATTTTTTTGTTTTTTGTTTTAGTCAGTTTTTAAATAGTTGAATAGTTGTATAAACAATGGGTGGCAAGACTACAAAATTATTTAGAAGTTCACCTCAACCAAGTACCAATGTTCAAACTGATAACGATTCCCCATATCATGAATATCATAAAAATTATGACAACCATGACATCCAACAACCAGATGATACAGTCATGAAAAACCCCATAAGTCCATTTGTATATTACAGGAGAGGGTAAGTAAAAAAAAAATTATCATTTTCATTATTGTGAAATATATTCAAATTATTCTTCATTACTTAAACCATTTCTCAATAAAAAAAAAAATTAATAACATTAAAATTATATATAATGTATGTATTACATTATTTTATTAAATAATAGATTGTTCTTATTTCTACCTCAGGTCAATGTATATAGATGAAGATGGTGATATTGCACATGAATTTTATGTAGAAACAAAAATAGGATCAAAATTAACTCTAAAACAAATCAGTAACCAGCATTTAAAACCTCAAGTAAGCTTGATTAATTATTATGGAAAAGTATCTTTATCTCATTTATCTAGAATTTTTCAACTTACAATTAATGATTACTTACTTGAAATTAAAAGAAGTTATTGGTTAAAAGTTTAAGTTAAAAACATTTTTCTAATCTTGGGTCTTATCAATTACTATTTGTATTTACAGGGAGATGTACCTTTAGATGTACCGTGCTTAAGAAACGATTATCCAGTTGTCTTATTAGACCAGAACAGAATGAAAGAATGATTGGTTTCACAAAAAAAAAAAAAAAAAACATGGTCGAGTATAAAAATCATCATTGTTCCTATGATATTATTCTTTTTCCCATATATTAAAAATTAAGTTATATTATTGCTACCAATATTACAATTTGCATCCAGTTATATCAATAATAAGTGCCGAATAATACGAAATACTTATCTTGCCTGTACTGGTTGCAGTAAAATCTACTTATTATTTCTAACATCAACATTTATGTATTAACTGTAACATCTAAATCAACTGAATAATTGTATGATATTTAGTTCCCAAACTTGTGTTCTATGTATAATTAATTTTGTTAGATTATTGAATTGAATGTAGTTAAAAATTGTACATCAATTGATTTTTACTTATTCAATTAAATATGTAACAAACAAATGGAATATTACTTTGTTTAAATTAAAAGTGACCACACGTAAAGTTTATGATGTATTGAAGTAATTTTTGTAGATAAATTATGACTGACAAAATAATCAATAATATACTGAATAAGTTTGTTAATTTATTAAACATATGGTTACTCCCAAAAAAATGTAGTTATAAAACTTAATAAATCAATGACTACAGTAATTCTTTCAATAATTGTTATCATTAATCAATAACATTCAAAATAATAATATATCTATTTCATTTTTTATAATAAAACTTTAATTGTAATATTTTTGTTTGGTATTTTCAGAAAAGGTATCACCTATTTAACTAATAAATCAGTTTTTTAATATTATCAGTTCATATTATAGTTTTCTGGAATTGCCATTTAATATGATTAGCTTAAAGAAACAATTAATTACACAATTAATATGATGTTTATATTATTGGATGGATTTAATATTATAATTTTAGTCATTTTTCTTGTATTTAAATATATTATATATAGTCCATTATTGTTGTGTTTGTTTGTTTTAAGTATATAAGTAAAGTAGTTTTATTGTTTTATGTTTTTTTTTTTTTTGAAAATCTTATATTATATTGTAACATTATAATAGATTATTATTTTTAATTGATAAAGCTTGATACTTAATTACTCTAATTTATCATAGATTTTTTTTCATGTTAAAAATAATTTATCGGAAGATTGTAATGTAAGTAATATATTTTTTTGGTTTTAACAGTTAAAAATTATCTTTTTCGCTATCACTGTTTCATATTATATACATAAAAGTTCAAGTTGAGAACAAAAGTCTCATTTTATCACATCAAATATTTAAGTAAGGATTTCAACATTTGATATGTGTATTGTTTACCTACATTATATTTATATATTTATTGACAAGTATTCTTATTGATTTTACATAACTGTACTCAATATTACTCGTAGTAAATAAATCCAATTTGATGACTTTTATTTTATTAGATTTGATAAAAACTTTGTTTAACTTTATTCACATCCTACAACTTATAATATAAAAATAAATATTAATTGAATTTAGTACTTTTTCTAATTAATATAATAGTCTGAATGGTATGATTATACCAGTTACATAACAGATTTATGGTAAAATTGTCATTACTGCATTCAAGACCAACTGTATTTTATTATTTTGTGTATATGCATATCATATGCATGTAATTTATGTGATTAAATTATATCTTTTCATTACTTACTCCAATAAATTTTAGTATCTTTTGGAGAATTTTATCTCGTTACATTTAATGAAAAATACTTAAATCAAAGATGTAGGTAGTTAACAAATAATTAGTAATAACAAAATATATATACATATATATTCATAAAATTTTTAATTTTTGAAATCATAAAAAAATAATTTAAAAAACAGTAATACATGAAAACAATGATCTGGATTTTTATACTTATAGTACCTAATCTGCTAGTTGTAGATCTATGTTTATTCTTTATGATTACACCTAAGACTAATTTCCATCATTGTTTCGTTATTTTAATTGGTTAAAATAATTAATACTGAGATACTTAAAATTAAATAGTCTTATAACTTGTTTATTGTTTATTATTTGGAACGTCGAATAATTAATTGTAGTATTAACATTTTAATTTAATCTTCATCAATGAATGATACCGTATTTTTGAAATAGGTAATATAAGTATAAAACATAATGATTTAAATATGTATAATATATTAATATACTACAGTAGTCATTCAATAATTCGAAATTCAGGGGACTGAGTTAAAAATTCGATTTACCGAGGGTAAAAAAAATTAATTTGAATTTAAGAGAGGTGAAAAATTATTGTATGTTTATCCATATTACATTTATTTATTATTCATAATATATACATATTATATTTTACAATTATTAATCGACATTTATTTATTATATTATTATATTTTACATATTAAAGAAACCTCTGTTGTTATTTTTTTATGATATATTGCTGGCCACAATGTGGTCCATAGCGTTGTTTAACTTACTATATAAGAGCATTGCAAATTGTATCGCATCTTTTTTCGTCCATTTCAAATTACTCAGAAAATTACGTAATCTTGGCAAAAGTTTAGATTAGGTTGGTAAGGTACAATAACGTTATAAGCTTTTAAAGTTAATATTAAACCATCGTTATTAGTATTGTTTTAGATTGTACATAATCTTTATATATATATACATTGTACATACATATAAACTTATATATAATCGCGTTAAAGAAAATTCAAATTATAGAGGTTCGTGGAATGAAAATTCGAATTGTAGAGCAGCGTATCCCAACTGGTGTTCCGCGGAACCTAAGGGTTTCACGAGCCAGCGCCAAGGGTTCCGTGAGAAATTTGGGAAAATATAAAAATTATTTTTAGTTTTCTTATCCTATAATAAAATATCTTATACAATATAAGTTATAAACTTATAAAGCCGGGTTTACACGCAACAATAAATGCTATCAATTTTTCGTAACGATCGAATTGTTTCGATTTATCGTTGCGTATAAATAGGACCTACTATAGGTATTCATTTATCTTATCTGTGGTCATCAGCGAGTAGTCGGTCAATGGATTTCGCCACTACAAAATATTTATTTGTAGTTGTCAGTCTTCATTCTGCTATGACGAAGTAAGAAACCTTTTTTTTTTCTAACAGTGAATTTTAATGTTCAATTATTACTATCACGAATAACTCTTTAATTTTCTGATAAGTGGTACTTTTAAATAAAATAAGCTAAAATAATTATTTTAGGAAGCATTTTGTAATAATAATATTATTATATTATTATAATAACCTTAAAATAAAATTATTCGTGATTATAATTTTATAATAATATTTATAAAAAAAAAAATGCTGCCTGGGATAAGTTATTTAAATTAACACTAGGTGTTGACGCCGACGCGTCGTCGACAAATCATAACAGTTTTATGCGGCGGGCGTCGACATTATTATATTATTATTTTTAGACTATGTGATTTAAAATGTAGTATTTCTTTTCGGAAATCTTTTCAGTAGTGGTACCTGATCCTTCATATTTCTTACTGAAATGGACAAATGGCTTAAAACGGGGCGATTATTATCAGTAGAAAAGACCGGTCTAACATCTACAAGTAAAAGTAGTACTTCGTCTGTTCCATCGGAAAACTCAACTTCCCGCTGTGAAACATCTCCAAGTAAGGAATACACTCAAATTAATTTTTCAAAAAGTAAAAAAAGACGATATGATGAAGAATATTTATCGTTTGGATTTATTCCCATTGGAGTAAACACATTTCCCGATGTAAGGTGTGTAGTTTGTGAAAAAGTTCTCAGTAACAGCTCTTTGGCTCCTGCGAAGCTTAAGCGACATTTGGAATCTAATCATCCAAATTTGAAAGGGAAAGATCTGGAATTTTTTAGAATGAAAAAATAAGTTTCAATTGAAAGTGCGAGTTCTCTCACTAAGTATGTAAAAGACAAAAATGAGAAAAACACAGAGGCTTCATTAATATTGGGTTATAGTATTGCACGTGCCGGAAAACCTCATACCATTGCCGAAAGTTTAATTAAACCCAGTATCATAGAAGTGGTCTCTTGTATTCTCGGAGAAGATGCGGGAAAAAAAGTTGCAGCAGTGCAGTGCTCAAACAATACGATTTCTAATCGAATTCATAAAATTTCTGACCACATTGAAGATGAATTTGTCTTCAGATTAATTAACTGTAACCAATTTTCTTTACAAATGGACAAAAGCACCGATGTTTCTGAGTTGTCCATACTACTTGTTTTTGCCAGATATACTCATGAGAAAACCATTCAAGAAGGGTTGCTTATTTATGAAAGTTTGAAAAAGCATACCATAGGAGAGGAAATTTTTGAAGTTTTAAATAAGTACTTAGTGAAAAAAAATATCATGGCAAAAATGTGTGGACGTATGCACGGATGGTGCTGCTGCAATGGTTGGGAAGATAAAAGGTGTAATAACCAGAATTAAAAAGGTAGCTTCAAAATGTAGTGACAGTCACTGTGTTATACATCGCCATGCGTTAGCAACCAAGAAACTTTCGCCAAATCTTAAATCAGCACTAGACGTAGCTGTTCAGTGTGTGAACTTTATAAAATCACGCCCCTTAAAAACAAGGCTGTTCAAGAAACTCTGTGAGGAAATGGGGAGTGACCATCAGAATCTTCTTTTACACACAGAAATCAGGTGGTTGTCCAGAGGTAAAGTTTTAACAAGACTTTTTGAATTGCGAGATAAAGTAAAAATTTTTCTGAAGGAGCATACGAAAACAAATCTTTTTGAGTGGTTTCATGATGAGAATTGGCTGATAAAGTTAGCTTACCTCTCTGATATTTTCAACAAGTTAAACGAAACAAACTTGGGTTTACAAGGAAAAGAAACTTCAATCTTTCGAGCCAATGACAAGATTAAAGCTCTCATTGGCAAGTTGGATTTTTGGGTCGAATGTGTACAAGAAAATGATTTTTCATGTTTCTCCAACTTAATAAATTCTTATATGAAAATAAGAGCTCAGTGACACCGATAAATGCAGAAGAAATAAAAGACCATTTAATCAATTTAAAATCCGGATTAATTTTCTACATTCCAAGAATAAACGAAGATTCTGATAATTTGTGGGTAAAAAATCCATTTTTAATTCAGAAAAAGCCAAAAGAACTAACATCCATTCAATACGAAAGTTTGCTTGAAGTAAAATCTTCATCTGAATTGAAAATCAAGTTCAAGTCACTTAAAATTGAGGAGTTCTGAATCGCCATGGAAAGTGATTACGAACAATTGTCCATAAAGGCTATCACCGTTTTATTGCCATTTGCAACTTCCTACTTGTGTGAAACTGGCTTTTCAGCGTATACAAAGACTAAGCATAAGTTTCGAAATCAACAGAACGCGGCTCCGGACCTACGAATCCAACTTTCAAGAATAACTCCAGATTTAAAAACAATTATGAAAAAAACTATGGAAAGATTCCAATCTTTTCATTAAATCTATTTTAAAGTAATAAGAGACAAATATTAAGTTTTAAGCTTTAATATGATCATTTATATTTTATAATACTGTAATAGTTAAAAACAAAATAAAATGTTAGAACCGTCTTAACTATGTTTTTTTAAATTTTTTTAATGACACTTACGCCGGAAATGTCCAAAAACCTACTCATTTCAGTATACAAAACATTGTCTGCATTACTATTATAGAAAAAATATGGGGGTATCTCAAAATGTTCAAGCTTTTGTAAGGGTTCCGCAAGTAAAAGAAGTTGGGAAACGCTATTGTAGAGTGTTTACCGCCGACAGACATTTCGAATTATCCAGGGGACCGGAATATATGTATTTTCTTAATTTTTTTTAATAATAGAGGTTTTCTCAAGGCACTTAGCGTTAAGTTCGATTTATGGAGTTTTTCGAATCAACGAGTGACTACTGCATTTTGCAGTAGTAGTGAATAGTGATGCACTACCTACCTTTTTTCTTTGGTGGACCACAATAAAATTATATAAGTAAATATATGTATTCAATGCCAATATGAATTTTCTATTTTATGATAAGTATAATATACTAAAGGGGCATCTATAAACAACCTATTGTAGGTACATGGATGGACATTACGATTGTATATTTTCTTATCAATGGCTTAAGTGGACTAACTTACATAATGACATCCATTTATGACAGTTAAAGTTTATTTTATACATTTCATCATAAAAAATATATATAATTATATATTTTTATCAAATATTTTACTGGTATCAAGAAAAATTAAAAATCAACAAAATAGGTATGAAAAATGAAAAAAAATGATAACAATAATGATATTTTTTTTAAATAATATTTAATTTTATGATATTTTATAAAGTAATAGTAATAGATCATTTTTTACTTTGTATTTAACTATTATTTCAAATAGTTAGTAGTGTATAAAATAGGTAATTTCATTATTGCCTTTTCGATTTTTTATAAAAAATATGATTGATTCTATAAGTAAAGTACCTACCTACCTACTTAATATTTTATTTTCGATTTCATAAAAAATTAAAAATATTTCATGGTTATGGTTAATTTTACGTGTACATTATAGTTGTGTATATCATGTACATAATTATGAGATCTACCTACCTTTTGCATACTCATTTAACATATCTTGTTACATAAAAATATAAAATATATTTAAGTTGTTGGTTG